GTGTGTGTTTGGGGCGACACACCTGGCAGCAGCCCCGCACCCCACAGCATCAGGGCCACAGGGGCTGCGCTCGGCTGGGGGTCCCGGGGGGGAGGGGGCCGCTCACCTGGCTGAAGTCCCAGGGGATGGAGGTGATGTAGTCGGGGGAGCCCTGGTAGATGAGCCCCTGCTGAGACAGCACGTACTCACGGCGCTCCTCCTCGTCCCGGAGGAAGACGGTGTCCTCTGCGGGGGCAGCGAGAGATGGGGCCAGGTCAGGGCTCTGCCCCCCAGCCCCCAGCCTGCTCAGAGCTCCCCCTCCCCAGGGATGGGACATGGGACAGGTCTGGTGGGAAATGAGGCAACAGAGGCTGGAACTGCTCCCATCTGGAAAAGCTGCTGGAGAATTTCAAGCCAGTTTGATTTCAGCTGATGAGAAAATATCAGTGGGCTTGTGGTTTCCTTTTCCATTCTTTCTCGTTTCTCTCTTTACTCCCTTTGCTTTATGGACTTGGGTCTTTTCCCAGGAGGGGGAACCTCCCTGGTGGGAGAGGGGAGCTGTGGGATCCAGGAGCGCTGGCTGAGAACGCAGCTGAAGCCATTTCGCTCTCACAGCAGTTATTGCTGGAAAAATCACTATTTACTGGAAATGTTTTCAGGAAAAAAATCCCAACACGTACAACCCCAGCACCAGTGCTCGAAGCTTCCTAAAGCCCTTATCTCGGCAGAGCCGGAGCCAGCAGGAAGGGTTTGGGATTCAGGAAAGGGGCCGGTACAGGCCAGGGGTGCGGGACAGCTCGGGGCTGCTCCTGGGGACAGAGGAAGGACATGGGGAGATGAAAATCCGGCTGTTGTTTGTCCAGAGTCATTAAATTCTGCAGCACCGATCCTCCCTTCTGTGTCGGGCTGCCCGAATGTCACCAGGACAGTGACACCCCTGGGAGTGCCCGGGGCTCAGCACAGAGCCCACAGCTGGGCACCCGGCCTGGAAGCAGAGGGGGTGGGCAGGGCTGGGGCAGGTGGGGGAAATTAGGGGAAATTAGGGGCAATTAAGGGCTTTGCAGGGCTTTTCCTCTGCTCACCACTCGGCTGGGAGCAGCTGTCGGGGGCTTCACACCAGCAGTGCAGAGGTGAGCTCCCG